AAATCAGGCTGCTTGCAAATGATGGTCTTTAACTAAACCAAAGTAATAGAATATAACTGTTATGTTGTACATAATTTGTATGCAATTCTTGTTGTAATTGATCGTTTTTACATTTGGTGATTTTGCTATTGAAACTAACTGGTGGTTGATCTTTATACCTTACAGTTATACGTATTTTTGTACAATCTGTGTTGTGCACGTTTTAATCTATGATTTAGATTGTTTTAATATGTAAGATGACCGCTTTTATATGCATCGGTCTTTTTTCAACAATTGAAAGTTATTTTATAATTAATTTTTGTATAAGATGGTATAGTTGCAACAATCACAAGCACAGCTTGCAAATGATGCACTAATCATTGATGAAGCATTAATATGTACTTGATCTTTATATCTTACAGTTATACATATTTTTGTGCAATATATGTTGTGCATGTTGTAATCTAATATTTAGATTGGTTTAATATGTAAGTTGACCACTTTTATATGTATCGATCTTTTTTCAACAATTGAAAGTTATTTGATAATTGATTTTTTGTATATAAGATGGTGGAGTTGCAACAATTACAAGCATGGCTTACAGATGATGCACTTGTCATTGATGAAGCATTAATACGTGCTTGATTTTTATACCTTATACATATTTTTGTACAATCTTTGTTATGCATGTTGTGATCTAAGATTTAGATTTGTTTAATATGTAAGTTGACCTTTTTTATATGTATCGATCCTTTTTCAACAATTAAAAGTTATTTGATAATTAATTTTTTTATAAGATGGCGGAGTTGCAACAATTACAAGCATAGCTTGCAGATGATGCACTTGTCATTGATGAAGCATTAATATGCGTTCAAGTTTTTGACAGGAGTGCTAGGACTATTTTCGATACTGAACCTGCTCCGTGCAAGTCATATAACAGCACATACACAACTCCTAGGTTTATGAAACAAACTTTTACACAACAAGTTGTTGAGAAGATAATGCTATTAATGAACTTACACATCGTCTTGAACAACATATTTCAATTATCTAGTGACTTATAGCATGAAAGAATTCGAGCTAGCATCCTCCTTTCAAGATTGAGCAATGATCCGCCTCCACTACCGCTATCAGTTGATGTTGCAATATTGTAATTATATTTTTGTAGTTGCAAGAAAAAGATGAGAAGTCATCTTTTTTTGAGTAAAATCTATAATTCATTTTCTGTTTAGTCTACATACATTTTGTGGTTAAAGTACAGGACACATTTATAATTAAGGTATAGGAGACCTTATATACTAGGTTCTATGGCACATTTTGTAGTTAAATATTGGACACTGCTAGAAAAATGCTAATCTCGTTGGTAATAATGAGGCAAACCTGATGGTGTAGCTTGGTTATCTCATTTCAAAAAAGTTGTAACTATTAGATTCTAGTTTCTTTATTTCCGGTTTTGTTCTTAATACATTATTGAGACCATGATGTTTATGGTCTATTCCGTAGAGTTTTGTAGGAAAAAAACAACAAATTAGGTACTCTATTGGTGTAAATTTTGGATGTCAGTTCAACAGCTCATTGAAAGGTCATGCTTACTGAATATTTCAAGATCATTTTTTTTTAACTTTATTCAACAATTAAAAATAAAATGTCACTACTAGTTCGTGCATCTTTTCAACAACCCGAGAAATTTACGTCTTTAGCTTCAATCTACAAATATTGAAAAATCTTCGGCAACATTATGCATTGACAATTTCAAGCTCCAACAGTGACACTAAAAAAAATCGAGCTTACTTTGTGTACGTAAACTGCACTCACAAAAGTCATACAGAACAGACACAGCAGGGGGTGGGTAGGGGATTTTTTTGGCATTTTTTTTTTATTACAGCATGGGTCCCACACATGCAGGGGCTAATCCAGAAATTTAATTGAGGGAGACTGAACAGTGATGGACCAACACGTTGTCATCGAACATCGATACACTCGACAGACATATCGAAGATGTCGTGTGACATATTTCTATAGTCAAACACGTATGTGAGTCAACAATTCAACACTTAATAATCCAAAAATTCAACAGAGGGAACTTTACAGAAAATTCTGAAAAACTAAAAATATTCACATTAATTTGTAGTATACAAATAGTATAGAATGGTTCATTTCAAAATGCTAAAAACTAAAATTTAAAAAATTTTCATTTTTCACATTTCAAACTCTAGGTTTTAATTTAAGATAAAGTTTGGTGGAATGATCAGGTTGTATCCAAAAATTCTCGCTCTCTTCTATGCGGTCCAAGGGAAATCAAGAAATCATTTTTATCCTCTACCGTGTTTCCAGGGAACGAAATGGAGATGATGACAAACGTTGGGTTAATCATCATATTTCTTGACCAACACGTGTTTCCATGCCCTTTTCTACTTGTACTTCAAAAAATTTATCTCATTTCAAGAAGAAAAATTAATTTAATAACAATACTTACTTGTTTGTACCTCTGTTTATGTTAAACAAACAATAAAGATATCTATTGAACAAAATATATATTTAACTTAGAGCAAAGTAGTAATTCAATATTTTCCTCTTTAGAAAACTAGATATCCAAAAACCTTGATCCGTAAAACACTAAAACCTTAATAATTTACACAAAAATCAAACAACTAAATTAAGGAAACTACAAATTAAATGGAGATCTAGATAGAAACACTTCAAAATTGCTGCCTAATTATTAATTTTAACTATATCCTTCAAAACAATTTGAAATTAAGAGAGCGTGTCATAATAAAAACAAAAGCATTCTTAAAGTCTATTTATCTAACGTGATTTGAAATGAAATCTTAATATTGGAGGGGGACATACAAACTAAAATCGAAGAATAAGAAATCTTAATTTTGAGAAGAACACGATTTGCAATTGAAGGATGACCCGGAGACGTTGCATAGAGATGGAGAGAGACGTAATGGAATGGTAGAATAATTCCTTTGATGGAGGTTAAAAACATATATAGGGATGTAGATGTTTGGTTTGGGTTTTGGAATTTGGCTAGATGAGATGGGTTTTAATTAATTAATTAATTTATTTATTTATTTGGGGCTTAAACTAAGGGAACACGGGCTGTATTGAATTTGTACATGGGTTGAGAAGAAAAAAATGAAAAAGAAGAACTGTACAACTTGGATCTGGTCTGGAGCTAACACAGGCTGTAGCTCGATCCAACCCAGGCCCAGATCCACCCATGCACACATGTGAGATTTCTGGCAAAATTATGTGGAACAGTTTTCTGTACAAATGGAACTATTCAAATAAAATATGAATTTGTAAAACTATTACAGTAACAATGGTTTGGAGCTCTATATGCAATAAAAAATTGTGTTGAAATTTACAAAAGCATTCTCTAGCAACGAGTAATTTTCAGGAAAAAGAACATAATTCAAAATAACAATCAATCGTAGCAATATGTATTCACAACAAGTGTTTAAAAAACTATTTATATAAATGAGCCACACACAAGCTTTACTCTCCTCTTTGTAACCATCCTAAAAAGTACAAATAACAAGTATGCTAAATAATTGAAAGTTCAAACATAAGAATATAACAAAAGAATAGTTAGAGAAATAACTACCAAAATGAGGAAAAATTGAGGACCTTCATTGTAAATAAAGTACAATGCAGTTAACAAAAACTATAGCCTATTTGATGAGAATTAAAATCAAATTTTTTAGTAGATATTGATAATAGTGGATGAAATGTGTGGTTAAAATGCTTTGATCCCATAAAATATGTGATTAAATTAATTATTGATTTTAATTTAGATTAAAATTCATATTTTAATGCCTCTCGAACAGGGACATAATGTATATATAATTACCCTATACGTGGAGCGATATTTGTACACGACACATTTTAGTCCATGATAATCTATAATTGTCTATTTTCTCAACCTTTCAACCTCATTTTCAGTTTTAAATTTATTTCTCAACACCTTTGAACCATTCCTCGTATCCCCATAAAAGATTTTCTAACTCTGTCACTGTTCCAACTCAACCTCAAAAGGCAGCCGCAGGACTTCATTGCAAGTTGAGACTTGAATCTAATTAGGCTACGTTTAGAAGTCATACTTCAAAGTGAGCCTGAATTTTTCTGTAAATTCACTTATTTTGCCAAAAGTAATTTTTTTCATTGACAAAACTTAATTTATGTTTTGGCTGATATTACTTTTGATTCACCATATTGTGAGTCTTATAAGTACTACTTAATCATTCATCACTTTTTCCTATTTATTAATAATTTTAACCGTTTATAAACAATTCTAAAACGTACTCCAAGATTGCTTTTATAAAAGTAATTTTTGAACACGGCAAAATACAATTATTGACAAGTTTCTCAAACAAACTGTATGAATTCTTTATCATATTCATTGAATCTGTCCTTAATTAAGTACTTATTGTCCTTCTCTTCAAGTCAAGTTTAAGCCAACCATTTCACGTTTTCATCATGTTTACAGCAGGGGTCCTCTTATGACTCATGAGGGATTGTCGGGTGTCAACTCCGAAGTATAAGCAGCAAAACCCATGGAGTAATGGTCCTTGCACTAGATTGGGTGACAGGTGTTTACCAGTACTTTTGTGGCTTTTTTTTTTATCAAATCGTTGACACGTGTCCTCTTATTTTTAACCATTGTGACTCACCTTGTTTGTTGTGTAGGAAAAACCCCATGAAACGCTCATTGAACACCAACTTATATATAAAAAAAAAAAAAATTAAATCATGTTACAGTAATAAAATAATTGACATAATCCTTAATATAATATCACGTCATATCTCATAGTTGGACTATTTTAAATATAGTCATCTTTTTCATCAAATCATCTATTACTAATTGGCAAAATGACAAAATCCAAAAAAATTATACAATGTACTCCCACTATCCCACTTGTTCTCTGGACACACTCATTGCTCATAGTAAATCACGACCTAGATAGTTGACCTCAGAGTTTTAGAAGCATACAACCCTAAACAACAAGAACTGCGGTTATTTTTATTTTATTATATATATGTATTTTTGCAACCCCATAAACAGAGAGCAAATCTAGTTTAGGATCTTAATCGATTTCCCCTTTGGTACAAGAAAATGGCCCAAAAATTATTCATTTTCAAGAGGTCATCAGGCAATTTGCTTTGATAGGGTTACTGCAATCTTTTGTGTCTCGCTTTGAGCTTGAACCTGGTATTCATTCTTTTAGGCATTTTGTCTGGAAGGGACTGAGTTTAGGATCATGATTGCAGAAGAGAAATTTTGTTTCGATACGAGTAATCACGTGGTCTGTTTGGAAAATTTAATCAAGAATGGAGGTGTGGACAATGAAATATTTGGAAGAATTCATATTGTTGGTATGGGTGGAATAGGAAATATAACTCATCGGAACTGCTCTTTCTCGTTTAAAACATCATTTCGATCCCTTTTTAAAGGTACACTTCGTATATAATAATCTGGGTTCTGTGATGCAGATTAGTTATCTGAAATTCTTTTGATGATGAAAATGAAACTACTGATTTTCTTCTCCTTTGTGAATCCGGTTATAACGCAAATAATTTGGAATGTCTGGTTTATAATATTTGTTGATTTTGTAAAACCATTATTTTGTTAAAAGCTTAATCTGTTTGCATAGACTAATGAATTAAATCTTGAATAGTTCTTGTCTTGATACTACGTTGATTGATGAATAGTTGTGTGGAGCACTCAGATTACTAATAATTTAAGATTATCATCATAACCTTATCTGCAATTGTTTGATTATTTTCTTTTATGCTTCTGAGTACACCACTGGATGTTTGATTATTTTGTTTTATGAATGCATCAGAAAATAGTAATTGTTGAGAAGCTAATACACAATTTTCATTCTCTTTGCAGAATATTGTAGCAACTTGATTTATCAAGGAGCAACTCGTACTAGTCGTGATATGATGTGCTTCACCACTCACGGAAAGAGAGAAACCAGTAAAAATAGGCACAAACTTTCCATGGAAAGGAAGTCGTGAACAAAAACTTGAGATCTTGGCTCTAGTTACAAGTATTGTCATCATCTCAAGTTGCGTGCTTCCTCCATCATTACCATCACTGTATAGTACGAGAACTTAGAGGTATCTATGTTAAGGTTTTGTTTCTTGGATACCCATATCAATAAGTATTTATTTACCATGAGAAGAAAGGAGGATAGAGAATATCATTGTGAGTTATCCAATATAAATTTGTCAAGAGATAGAGAGGAATTATTCAAATGCTACTAAGAATATTAGCTGGAATCATGTGTATTAGCTGAAGTAACTGTTAAGGGTGAAAGGAGAAGCAACTTGGAAAACTTTCATGGAATGGGGATAAGGTGGATGCAATACTATTAAGGAAGAGAAAGAAGCTAAATTTTGTTCTTTGTGCTGTCCAAATATAAGTCCTCATTGTTGGAAAAGTGCGATGGTTAAACAAAACCAGTAGTGCAATGGCGAGTTCGAATATATATTGAGAAGTGAAGATTCTCATTCAATTTTCCTCATGAAGTGCTTTCATGGTGGTCTGGATTATTTTCTGGAAGTCACGAGCCCTTTGCCAATTGAGTTTGCCATGCTTTCTTGATGGTGATCTAATAATCTTGGAAAAGAACCCGACAATAACATCAGCATGACAACTTCAGACTTCATGTTTACAAGAATGGTATTAGTGTTTTTAATTTCTGGGGGAGGGTTCTTAAATGCATGTTGAACATGTATATTTCTTTCTCCTTGTTTTCCCTTTTATGGAAATGCCATTTGAATATATTTGGATATTGCTTTAGTAGGCCGGTTCATCTTTTTTAGTCGATTGGCCTACTTGTTGTCTATTGAATAGTTACATACTTCCTCGATTTGTTGTCAATTGAATAGTCACATACTCTCAAGATTCAACTTGTCTAATGATCCAAGATATTTAATATACTTCAACTCACATTCTATGGCATTCTATGAATTCCAAAGGGGATAACCGAACCCAAAATTCAAGAGAAAGTAATATGTGTATCAATGTTCAAAAAAATCAATCGAGCATTGAAGTGTTTATATGTGAACAAAGACATAAGGTTGACGATAATTGAGATGCAAGTGTCAAGACAAACCAATAAAATTATACTAAATAACATATAAAACTACAAAATTAGATTCACAATATACTATAAGTCATATATAAAATCCATAATAAGAAAAAAGTAACAAAAGTTAAAGATTAATTTTCAAATGAACCTAAGCCTCTGTTTGGCCCCCGTTAATTTTGATGATAATGGAGGAAATAATAATATTATTTTTTGTTTTTTTGAAAAATGGATGGTTGTAAAAGAATGAAAAGTTTTCAATTTACATGTAATATTATTTTATTGAAAATTGTATGGTTAAAAATAGGAGAAATAAAATTTTAATTTAATTTGATGAGAGTTAATGGGTTTCATTTTAGTTTGCTAAAAAATTACCTTCTAAAAAATAAGTGATGGCAAGAGAATAATGATTGTAAATCATATAAAATATATGATTACAATTAATACTTAAAAAGAAGAATTTATTATAAGAAAATCTAGATGCTCTATTTGATGGAAATTAAAATTAATATTTTATTAGATTTTTTAAGAAAATTATGAAACATATAAATGAAAAAAAGTTTAATTAATTTTAACTTAAATAAAATCAAGGTTTCGGCTTATATAATTCTTGAAAAATACTCTTTGTATCGAATAAAATATACTGAAAGTTGTTCCCTCTTCTCACAATGTATACAGGCGTCGCGTGAATATAAAAATTTTCAAATGTTTCGTTACCTCCTATTATGATTAGTAGATAAGAGATTAGGCAAAAATATTATTTATACTAAGCATTGTCCATAATTCTTTGCCGCTCGTCTTATCTTCTCCGCGATTGCTTTCCACCTTAAAACCCCAACCACACCATCTTCAATCTATCTCCAAATTACCACACGCACACTGTGCAGAACTTTGGAAGGCCGTGTACGATTATCGTCTAGCAATGGCGGCCTGCACAGCTACAGCTTCAACTGCTGTTCTTCTGCCTTCCAATCCCAATTCAAAGGCTTACATTTCCCCCAAATCCATTTCCGTTCCCTCTTCATTCTTCGGACTCCGCAATCCACTTGTTTCTCATGCCCCTACTTCCCTTACCTCTCGCTCTTCTTACAACACACGACGCAGTTTCGCTGTGCGCGCAGTAAGTATTTACACTCCTGTCATGTATTAATTTTATGTGATGATATTAAAAAAATGTTGAAATGTACTCTACTAGAAGCTGTGGATTTGGATTTTTTTTTATTTTGCTATTTAAACTTCGTTTGGGTTCAAAATGCATCTAAAATTGATGTTAGCTAATTAGATTTTTTTTTTTTCCACATAGTATTTATAAATTTAGAAGTAACCAAGAACTTTTCTTGTTTTCATTTTGACTCTATGTAAACGAATCTGTGAACTGAATTTCATTTGCGGATAGCTATCCTTTATTACAATAGGAACTAAATTTCGTGTTTTTAATTAAGTTGAAAGACATGGGAGATGAAAGGTAAATGCTGCAATTGCAGTTTGACTGGCTGTATTAATCTTGCCAGTTCTTGCCGCGCTATTTTGCCAGTTTTTGGTTTTATGCTCCAGCTGACTTCTTTAACTTCTTTGACAGAGTGAACTGCCACTTGTTGGAAATCAAGCTCCAGACTTCGAGGCAGAGGCTGTTTTTGATCAGGAATTTATCAACGTAATCCTCTGAAGAATGTTGTGTAAACATTTTAATTTTAATTTTAATTATTATTATTATTATTATTATTATTATTATTATTATTATTATTATTTTATTTTTTAATCTTTCCAAATATCATCAAATGTTGAATGTAACTGATTTCTTCCATCCGTGGAGTTGGATAATCACCATTATGATAAAACTTTAATAAAGGGCTTCAAAAGAATAGAATTCTGATGTATTATTCTATTCTTCATTGAACGATGATTGTAGAAGTTTGAAAAAAAATTCTGCATGTTCCCTCCCCCATGTCTCTCTGGCGCACACACACATTTCTTTATTTCACCTACGGCATTCTATTGTGCAATATTTACTTGGCATGGGTGTTGGTTTTTTAGACAGCGTTTTCATAAATAGGTAATGATTATTCTGCCTGCAGGTTAAACTATCTGAATATATAGGGAAGAAATATGTTATTCTCTTTTTCTACCCACTGGACTTCACGTTTGTTTGTCCCACTGGTGAGTTGACTTTTTACTATATTGTCTGCCTGATGGTTGCTGATGATACCACTTGTATGTTGCTCTTACTTTCTTTTCAGAAATCACTGCTTTCAGTGACCGTTATGAAGAATTTCAGAAATTGAACACAGAAATATTGGGTGTTTCAACAGACAGTGTGGTATGTTACCTTCTGGATTTAAAACTGGTTGAATTTTTTTTGTTTGCTGCTCTTCAACTTCTGTTTTTTGTCGTTGCTCATATGAATAGCTACAGTGGTGGATGTTTATACGTTCTATGTTAAACTCTTACATATGATTCACTTAACTATGCTTTCTTATCTTAACTTTATATTGGAATGCAATCTATTTAATTCCTTCTGTTTGAGGAAATATGATTTCCAATGAGAAGATTTTGCCACAGCAAAGTAGAGAGAATTATTAATTGTGGTTAAGATAAATGTTGTCCTTTGAATCCCTTGCTCCAATCTTCTTCTTAATCCCTGTTATTTTTAATTTTTAATTTTTTTTTCTTTTTTTCCTGTGATATAGTTGGGCATGTTTGATCTGCTAGTCTACTTCATTTCAAATTCCTTGGTAAAGTTATTGATGAAATTTAAAGTTAATTTTCACCATACTCTTCTCCTAGACCCGGACAAAGATTTTTTGGAAGACCTAGAGACTAAGATTGTTTGTATGAAGTGAAGTCGAAGTACTATCTGACATAGAAGGAAGGAAATAGCCTTCTCCATTCTGTTCCATTGCTCCGCTCTGTCCACTTCAGCTATTGAAATTTCTTTCTAAAACATGTCCATTTCTAAATTAAGAGCGCCGAATGATAATGTTCTCTCCTCGATGAGTTGTCATGAGTTGTTACTACTTTCTGTTATTGTTAACATGTTTCATCAATGCTTATGTCTGCTAATAATGTCTCTGTCATTTCCTATGGTGTTTCACTGGTTACCACTTGGAATGTGTTGGTTTCAGTCATATTGTATCATCAATTTTTTTTTGTTTGATTTGCTGGTCGTCTTTGTTCTCTTTTTTGTCATCTCTCTTATTATTGACTTTTATGGACTTAAAGTTTTATCCTGTAATTATCTTAGTTAAAAGTTTGCTGTGATGTAAAGTTGACTTTTTATGATTTTCTGTTGAAATTTTCTCTTCCATGCAGTCAGAATATTTTGGTCATATGCACTTTTCTGCGTTTGCTTTTTCTTACCAGCATTGATTGATCTTGTGGAATCTTAAATTCGTATGCGTTGTATTTACTTTATGCTTGACAATCTGCAGTTTTCCCACCTTGCATGGGTCCAAACAGACAGAAAGTCTGGGGGTTTGGGTGACTTGAAGTATCCATTAGTTTCTGATATTACCAAATCAATTTCTAAGTTATATGATGTGCTCATTCCTGATCAGGTACGTAGATCCTGTTGGCATTTCAAAAACCAATTAATCAGCTTGGTTAAAGATATCAGTATGGTCTTAATGTTACCTTGCTATTCATTTCAACATCTTTGGTTATTGCTATTAATGCTGTCTACGATCTACTGTAGCTGATATAATAAAAATTATCTATTGGTTTGGAGTTTGCGGCCTCCTATCTGGCCAAGCATAAGAAGTAGAATATGATAAATTCTCTTGGTAAGAGGTGAAAAGAGACCAACATTGTTCCCTACAGTACTATTTTAGTGCAAGCATAACATTGTTTGACCTGGTGTGCAGGTTTATACTGATCAATCTATTCAATGATCACGTTATCAATTTTGAATCAGTCAATACTTGAGAAGTTAATTTGTTAATTTCCTCTGTTAATATAATGTGTAGCTTCAGGACATGTTTCTTTTCATCTGGCTTTGTACTTTTTTGGAGAAAAAGGCTCATGATATCATCTAACTAAAGACAGTACTAGAGGTGGCTTTAGAAATATGGATAGCCTTATAATGATGATCCAGCTTGCACTGGTTCACGGTGATGGAGACTATTGGGATGAGATACCCACCTTGTTCTAGGAGGTTTACGGATCTTTAAATTTTTGAAATTTGGCTAAGCCTATATTTTGAATCTACCTCAGAGTCGTAGCTAGATGAATTCTACCATATAAATTTTGAGGGTCTAATATTAAGGAGGAAAAACTATAATTGAAGTCTTATTTATCTATGTTGATTTTTCAGGGTATTGCATTAAGAGGACTTTTTATCATTGACAAGGAAGGAGTTATCCAACACTCCACCATCAACAATCTTGCCATTGGCAGAAGTGTCGATGAAACACTGAGAACGCTCCAGGTAATATTATACATTATATGCTATATAAAACATACGGACAAACTTCTGGGTTTTGGACCAAGGCTTTTATCCACTATAGTATTTGGCATTGCTGTAATCTATAAGAACTTTATAAGGAAAATGCTTCACTGATTTGTTTTCTAATATTCATCATTATTAAGTGGCATTCAGTTAGGATACTGTTTCCATCAAGTCTGGCTGTCAATGAGATATCACTTGACGTTGGCTGCATATATTAAACTACCATGTCAACAAACATGTCCACCTTAAATCTTAGCATAAATAAATTTTAACCACGACAGAGGTTGGGATTGCAAAATTCATCAGGTATGCAGATTGTACAGGCTTATTGCGTCTTCATAAACTATAATTCTTGTATATGCATTAGGTGTACCTATATACAAGGCAACGCTGCTTGGGGGGATATGCTTAGAGGGTTTTAAGTGGCTTGAAGCTTTTAGGAATCACTTGAGCAGTTTCAGTATGGCTCACATGGGCATTTCACCTTCCCTATTCAAATTAGAATTCTTATCCTCGTCTTAACTGAAGCGCTAGTTTCTCACTTTATAATAATGTTAAGTTTGAAAAACCCTCAAAACTAAGGAACATAATGAACAGATGTAGAGAGTAATCTCTTGGTTGAATGATTGTCTTTCAGCATCTATAATATTTTTGCTCTTCTTGTTGAAAGTGTCTGAGAGAGAGCTTTTCCCTGGAAAATAAAAACTGCAACAGTGGAAGCTTCTTTTGGTGTTTCTGGCAGACAAGTTATAGGAATTGAGAAACGAATTTCATAGTGAGATGGTAAACTGTGGAATGGGTCGTAATTTAACAGTAAAATCTGGATGTTAAGACTCCTGCTGGGAACATCATCGAATTTTACACAAAACAAGTTAAACCCCATGTTTGACATACTTTTCTTTTTTTCACTGTGATTGTGTAATCATGAGCCGTTCATGGCAGCTTTTGGTCTACTTTCCCTCTTGCATGCATTTTAGTGAGTTCAATAATCTAATGTGTTTTGTTTTATGCCTACTTATGCAGGCATTGCAATATGTTCAGGAGAACCCAGATGAAGTATGCCCAGCTGGATGGAAACCTGGGGAGAAGTCAATGAAGCCAGATCCCAAACTCAGCAAAGAATACTTTGCAGCAATATAAACTGGATTCGATCCATAACCCAAGCACTGTGTTATTTTCCAATTAGGTTGTAGAAGGTTTTGTTTTCTTGCAGAAATTTGTGATGTCTATTTTGAGTTTCAATAATTGACCATGTTGATTTCGACGTGCCTAGCGTTCAATAAATGTCGAGATACCTGGGAATATTCTTCCTCTGATTTCTTGTTCTCTACTCTTTTACTTGCAACTGGATAATGTCTCAAGAATAGTACCAAAGGGCAACAAGCAATACATTTTCTTAATTCAGAATCAGGAGTCTTTGTCATTTAGCATTTATTTGATTTAGATAAAAATTAAATTTTTAGTAAATTTTGGTAAAAGTTTATTAAATATGTGGTTGAAAAGTTGTGGTAACATGAAATGTGTGGATAATATTAATTATTACTTTGATTTTAATTTTAATTTAACTTTTTAGTTGAACCAAACAAGAAGCTGGTAAGAAGATTTTATTGTACTTGAGTTTGATGGAAAGCAATTAGACTGTAAAATGGTAATTTTTCCTTCGTCTTTCTTCACACACTCCGTTTTTATTGCATCACTTGAACAAATAAGCACGAGGTAGATTCTGATTGTTTATTACTCAGTTTGATCTCTATTAATTAAAGGGGAAAAATATTAAGAAAAAACAAGTTTGAGGATTACAAGGGTAATATTCTTGGGAGTTTTCTCATCCTCAAGCTATTACTAACTGATTATTCAAAAAATGATTGTCAATTGTTTAATGTAAAACCTTTCAATTTTCTAACAAATGACTATCTACGTGATGATTTTCTGACAATCACGAGTGCAACAGACAAGTTCGACAATATGTAACATCACTAGACCCGATGGATAAAAGGCTCATCTTCATCCAACTTTAAATGAAGTACCATATAAATATCGAACTTAAGTAACTAAGTGAACTCCAATTATCTACAAGCAGTTTGTTCTTTTACATCAGTCCGAAAGTACCATTTCTTTTACATTGGGGAGAGAGAGAGAGAGAGAGATTATGTCTTACTGTAGTTTAATATGCCACTTTCGTAAAATTCAACAGCCAATAATTTGTGTGACAAGCATCGAATCTCACGTGTTTGATTAAGAGCACACATCATGTCCCATTTGTACTATTTGGTAAAACTAGGATATAATTAAACTTACTCATGTTTTGCTATTGTTTATATTTATTTATAAAGTGCCAAATCATTTTTATTCACATATTTTTTGAGATTAGCAAACATTATACACTTATACACCATTAATTTCTATCTATGCACATCTCTTCATGTACAAGCTGACTTTATTTTTTAAAATCTCCGTACGTGTACAATTTTCATAAATGAGTAGCAATAAAAATTTGCACTCAAAATTTCTCATCTAAAAATTTAAACAATAAGAGAGAATAATATAGATAATCTATACAGGTAGAAATTCAAATCAATGGACAGATGAATCAAACTACTTGTACAGATTATCTGTGCAAGTAGAATAATTCGTGTATATAGACATTTTTAACCATTTGAAAATCCATGAACCAGCATTCCGATTCCTGAAAATTCATAGACCAACTTGCAAAATTCAAAACAAATTAGGGACAGAATTACAAAAGATTAGAATATCAGGGGTGCTTCTGCAAATTCGTATTAGGGCTTGTTTGGGTGTGGAATGAAGATTAACTCAATCAGGGCTATCGTATGAAGATTAAGACCAAGTTAAGGCACGCAATCCTAGACTCGTTAAAGGTGATTTTCATGACTTCGATAAAGCAATCAATCCTAGAGTTGGTATGTTAGAAGATTTTCTAATAATGTTGATTTTTGACATTTTAGCACTTTGTACGAGTCAATGAATCATACAGTGAAGGTTAAGTGAGGCATAGGATGAGAATTGATATGTTAAAAGATTTTCTAATAATGTCGCTTTTTGAAAATTTAGCATGCGTTAAAGACTTTGCACGAGTCAATGAATCATACGACGAAGGTTAAGTGAGGGCCTGTGAGGTAGAGGATAAGGCAGGGTTAACGGGGCATAATAAGCTAACTGATGGCCGATGGTTGCTATGAGGCAATTGGGGAACCGCAAGCAAGTAAACCCGCTTGCCCAAGTAGCTAAAACGTCTTATAATTATATTATTATCAATATTGTTAAATGAATTTTGTTACTCATATAGTTTTATTTACTATTTCATTGATAGATGTTGAGTTGACTATGAGCAAATCAAATTGAATGCAGGAGTAAATGAATTGAAATAAAAATTCACATTTAATTTAGGAAATAAATGAAATTTAAATTTAATGAAAAAGTAATTCCTAAATAATTCAAACTACTTTTAATTCGTAACGATCCTAAAACTTTTGACGTCATATTCTGTGTAAATTTTCTAATAAAATGATATAAATTATATTGAAAAATTTATCATGCAAAGATAAAATGTTAATGAAATAATTAAATTTTTTAAAGAAAATACGAGTTAGGCGCTTCTTTTAAGACGAACGTTTGACGCATATTTAACTATTGTCAATATCCGTTTTGACCATTGAATATGACTACGATATATTCCTCGAAACGAGCTTCTAGATGACGTAGGCAATTTGTAGATTCGGATAGTATATGATTATTGGCGAATTTTGAAATTACAGTATTATCGAAATTCTCGAAATATTAATTTGGAATTACTCACTTTGATGTGTCATAACTTTTGATATGATTGGTCGTTTTGTATGTCATTAACGAGCGAACAACTAGGTTATGAGCTCTTTGAAATGGTATTAAGAATGCAATGTTTCGACTTCATTTGATGACCTGAAATGAGTGCAAGAAAGTAGATCATAAAAGGTTATTTCCTAGAAAAAAAGACTGAAAAAATTGTTGGGTCATTTTACCCCTCCATGAGGGTCCGTCCCTGCATCTGTTCATGTTTCGTCTTTTGCCCTATTTTCACTACAAATTTGGTTTATATAACTAATATTTCAAATTGTTATGACTTTAACATAAAGTTATAACTCTTGGGAATAAAGTGTTTCAATCTATAAATAAGATTGATGATTTCTTGTTTTAGATATATAAGAATATAATATTACTCTTCTTCCCATTTTCTTCTTCTTGCTATTTAATATTCTTGTTTTCTACGAAACTTTACTTTGTGCTCGGAATACTGCAGAATTGGATTACAAAGGCTTTCATCTACATTTGTTGTCGTTGGTGCATAAACACCGACAAACATTTCATTGATTTCATTGTATCTTAGAGGCTTATTTGGATGCATTGTCCACTCATTTGTAAGGGGCATATTGTCTCAAGGAAAACGTTATCACGTACCTTGCAATCTACGTCGGAGTTGATAATCTACCACAGAGTTATTCTTTCAAGCCATTGCAAAGGAATACCATCACCAACAATCTTAAGACTATATCGTACGCAAATTTATAATGCCTTCTGCAATGTCATCTCTTAGATATTTCGCAATTGATTTCATAAAGTTGGAAAGATTAAATAAGGTAAACTTCCATAGATGGCAGACCAAGCTACATTTCTTCTTATTACATTGAATGTGGTTTATGTTTTAACCACACCAAAACCCGAAGAGACTGAAGATGAAACATTAGAATTAGGGTATGATCCGAATTCTATTTTGAAGATAATTGGAAATTCTAACTAATGTCGACGTTAACTGGAATTCTATTTGTTGGAATACTTTTGAAATCTTATTCGAAGTCTATCTAGCAAATTCTAGTTAAAGTTCTATTTGGAAGCCCAATTGAGACTTGAAATTATGTTGGACTTGAAGAGGATAAGATATGGGTATCTCATTCCTTCTACAACTCTACTTTAGGGTTTAGAGTATTCCTTCTATATAAATTAGACTATTCTCTACAATTTAGCTAGATTGTTTAACCTAATTACAAATTAGACAAATCAAAACACTAAATCATTTTAATTCTTTCTCCATATTTCAGTGAAATCTAGGGCTGTGCATGGTCCGATTTGGTTAGAACTGAACAATTCTATAATATAATTAATTTTTTAATATTTACAAAATTACATTAATTCAACTAATGAAATGTTCAATTTTAATTATTACAAAATAACGTAGTCCAATTTTATGAGTCTTGTGCGTCTCTTTTTGCTGAATTTTTCACAAATTTGAGTGTTAAAATCACATGAAGGGGAAGATAGTGAGCTTACAATAATTAAGAGATGTGCTCGAATTTCAATTCGATTTTTTCAGAACGGTAGAAATGACACTACGATAAAATGACAGATTTAGATAAAACTTAAGTCAATTTGATTAAGTTGGGCTTAAACTAAAAATTAGAAATAGAGAAATAATATTTTTTGGTTTGAGCTAAATTAACTAGTTAGCAAATTTATTTAAAAAAATAAAATAATTTGGCTTCTTTAAAATAAATAAATTAAAATTTTTGGAAGATTCAATTCTTATCCAGTTCTTTGATTCTTGACCTAGAATCGAGAACCAAATCAAACCCGTCGATCTTCGATTCAGATACCCCTTTCGAGTATTTAACTTAAGATCTGCTCGGTTCGGGTTCGGTTCGGTTCTAAAGTTTTGCCCAACCTTAGTGAAATCTACATTCATCTGCCAATTATTTTATTCTTGAGTTGTGATCAATTGCATCATATTGTGTCATTATTTTCTCGCCTATTATCATAACAAATTCGTATCGAAATTATCCAGTATTTTCTTCATTTTTTATAACGAACTGGTATCAGAGCTCAAGCTTAATTCATAAGGAGATTTTTTTTGGATGTCAACCATGAAGTATGATATTTCACTTTTAGATCGCAGTACAAGATTTCATTGTGATAGGTAAAGATGCAAGCAATACTCGCTCAAATGGATTTAGACAATGCGTTGTAGGGATTTAACAACGTACCCAAAACTTGGAATCATGATGAAAAATAACGTAGGGATCGAAAGGCCGTACCACAAATTCGTTTTCATTTTTCGAATAGCATTCTTCAGGACATTTTGAAAGAGAAGTTTGTCGTTGAGTTATGGTTATGATTGGAGCAATTATGCATGACAAAGAGTCTCACTAACAAATTACACTTGATGCATCACCTTTATTCCTCATCGTATGACAAAAGGTACATTTTTTTATGATTACCCAACTATGTTTAAGAAAATTATCGCTGATCTTAAAACCTCCGAGGTTAAATATGATGAAGAAGATTTATGTTTGATTTTGCTGTGTTTGTTGCCCTTTTCATATATATTGTTTAGAGACACGGTCCTATATGGTCGTGATACTCTCATCATTGAATATGTTTATGATGCTCTATATTCAAATGAGAAGATGAAGCTTCTAGTTTGAACTAAAGCTTTTGGAGATTGTCTTATTGTTGATGGTGGTTTTGGGAGGGACAAACTAAGGTCTTAGTTACAAATAAAATTTGTAATTATCGCAAGAGAAAGAGGCACTTGGTTAAGTATTGTTATAAGTTGTAGAATAAAGAAAAATTGGTTGTAGCTAATCAAAAAGAAAAGTAATTAGATAATTTGGGTGAAGTCAGTATCGACGAAATGATTAACAGTGATAGAGATCTTTTGGTGATTTCTGATGGAAATTCCAAAGTGAAGAGGATTGAATTCTCAATACAGCTTATACTTTTCATATATGTCCTAATCGAGATTTATTTACAACATATGAAGAAGTTTTCAAATGTGTTGTTGTAACATATAATAATACACCTTGTCGGAAGCTAGTATAGGAAGGGTCAGAATTAAATTGATTGATGAAAGTGTCAAAACACTTCATACAGTACAACATGTTTCTGATTTGAAGAAAAATATTATTTCTTTAAGTACTCCATACTTTAAAGGGTATAAATTCATTGCTCAAGGTGGAGTCCTAAAAGTTTGTAGAGGCGCGCATATTGTGTAGTAGGGACAAAAAAGTCTCAGTTATATGTCTTGAAAGGTTCTACAAAATCTTTGATGGATCAACGTGGTTTAAGGACTTAGATGGATTATGAGTTTAGTACTGTACCGTCGGAGTTTAGTTTGGGGTCTACTTTGATAATTATATCTAAGTCAAGTTTGAAAGTTATGGATAATTCAGTTTTGCCACCATTACCAATGGTGACATTGTATTCAACTTTTCGAAATATAACGTTTTTGAGAATATGCCTCCACATAGATACAAAGATATTGATTTAGTTAATTCTGCTTCATTCGTGGTTGAAAGTGTTGATTCTAGCAAAGATCATTCAAGCATTTCATGGTGATTCTATATAAGACTTATTTCAACCTTATTGTTACTCATGATTTGAGCAACTTTGGTGTTCAATGATGTTTTTGAAATTTTGATTACTCAGGTTTTTGAGTTTCAAACACATTTGTGTCTTATGGTGGAGAATATTTCCAAGTTGGAAATTTTTGTGGTGAAGTTCATATATGTTTTTTGTTAAAGAGTTGAAATTCATTCTTTAAAATGGAGTTTGTCTCCAAGTAGATTGAAATTTATTTATTATAGTGACATTCATATCAATGTGGAGTTTGTTAAAATCAGGATGTGATTTGAATTCTATTTTGAAGATGATTGAGAATTCTAATTAAGATTGACATTAAAAGGAATTTAAAAAAAAAAAAAAAAAATAAAAAATTTAAACTTTCTAAATGTTCCCTTACAAGACATGACTGTGCTTAAATTTTTTTTTTTTTTTTTTATAGCAGATGTGTATATTAAGCTTCGCTAAATTGTAATGGCATTTGCCCAAAATACAAGAAGTCGTTCCTGTGCTGCATCTTCTCTTCTGTGCCAGAATATAGTCATATTTACTTGAAATTCTGAACCCAAATAAAAATTTAAAAAAAAATAAATTCGTACTCTTCCGGGTTTGTCACGAAGGAACAACGAAGTCGGGATCGGGTACATAATTTAATCTTCCCACTTCTTCCCAGATCAATTTGGATGTCACTTCATCATATTCTGGAATATATTCCTGAAATATATAGAAAATAGAGTATAAGAATGAGCTAAAATTATTTTACCTTAAATTAGAAAGTGAGGCCTTTTTTCATTCTTTATCTCCAACTTGGTTCTTCTTAAACAATTCCCACATAATCATGTCGTAGTATAAAGGAAAAGATTTTTCCATTCTTATGGGCCCAAATAGTTTATTCATGCAAAAGGGCAGTTTAAATAGATGATTTTATGATTAAACTACATTTGTTTTGAACTTAGATTGCATAAAGATTGTTTTCTTTATGGCAAATTTTGTTGTTGGACAAGGAATCTAGTACCTCAAGTTCTCTGACCAACTGTTTGGCGGTCGGAGCCGACACGATAATTCTTCGAGCAGTTGGAGAGATAAAACCTTCGTCTACGGCCTTATCAATAAAAGATAACAAGGAATTATAGTAACCATCAACATTCAATAGGCCCACCTGCATATGTTTATATAATTAGATTAGTGAATAAATTTAGATAAAAAAAAATGCACATTATGTGACTTATTGCCGTGCAACATGTCTAAGTTTGACCAACACTAATCCCCATTTTTCAAATTCTAAGATTATCCAATTCACATGGAGATCTGCCAGTGAAATTCAAATCAAGTTACCTGACTATAATTCAAAAAAAAATCTTGCAAATATTTCCATTTGAACCTTTACAAGTCTAAATGATAAGGACTATTGACCAAAATCCCGACGAACTATTTTTTGGTAGCATATATATATGAATCGAATATATTAATATGGCAATCTGAAATTACGTGTAAAGGCTCACAGGTTTATGATGGATTCCGAGTTGAGCCCATGTAATAACTTCAAGCAACTCTTCGAGTGTACCATAACCGCCTGGAAGTGAAAAAGTACTAAATTTAATGTCTTGGACATGGATAGTTTTAATTGATTTAGAAAGGTAAATGGGATTTGTATACCTGGAAGGGCAATGAAACCGTCAGCTTGTCGAGCCATCTCGGCTTTCCTCTGATGCATATCAGATACAGCTCGTACTTCTCCAATAGTTTCTCCAATTATCTATGACAAATATATGTTTTGATGACAATACATTATAAATTTAAATGCCTTAGACCATTATATAGTTGAAATTTTGAGAAATAGACTTCAAGATCTAATATAATTAAGAATTAGAGAACATTATATGTGCTTTCTGTTCTCCTGGATGTATTACTTTTGCAAGATTGTAATTCGCATTGAATGAAAATTTTTAAACAAAAGAGAGTTTCTAGTCATACCTCCCGAGGCATGAGAGTCCTTGGAATAACCCTGCAAGTAATGTAAGAGTTTGGGTGTAAGAATTACTCTCAAATCCAAGAATTACGTTTTGCTAAGAACATCCAATTTTAGATGTGAATCATGTGATGGTATTGAAGATAATGAATATTATATTGTCTAGCTCAGAGTAAGTACACAATAAAACACGATATTATCAGAAACCAACATTTGATCCCATGATGTCTGCCTTTGGATGGTAAGAGAAACATCAATAATAACCTTTGACAGACTTGCATGGATTGAAGTAAACAAAATTTACAAGATTTCCCCATTTTCATTATTCCTCAGGGCCAAACAAAAGATGAGAATTATGAGGGACAAATGACACTTATCATTCCAGCCTTCCCCTACACATTGTGTGTAAGAGAGATAAAGAGATATGTATCTATATGTGTATGTATATTTGAATATATATAGAAGGAAAACAAAACCCATGAATTATAATTCATAGGATGCCTCAAAAATCATGAAAAACTTCAAGCATGGCTACTCAAATGATTTTATTTGTACATGATTATACGTGCATGAAACAAAAATGATGAAGGTCTGGGAATAGAAAAACACGCTTAAATTCATGATATCAAGATGGCACGTTTGGTTAGCAGATTTTTTTATGGCACAATTGAACTTAAACCCCATAAACTTAACTAATTAAGATCACGCAAGAAGGGCTGGTCTGAAATGACAGCCAGGTTACAGCTAGCTTCTGATTACTCTCTCTAATTTCTCATGCCAAACCAAACATAAACCCTAAACTTGATTTTCCCCCAAGACCCATCTGCCGCATTGCCCATGTATAAATCTGTTCTGATTCCATACATATATAGCTAGAGAGATTAAGAAAGAAAGAAAGTATCTGATCTGAGCTGCAACAAAAGAAGACCCCATTAAGGTGTATAAATCTGCCATTCAGTTTAACCAGGAGATAAAGAAGAGAGAAAATTAATACCCACAATAAAAAAAATAAAAACACGGAGCAAAAAGGCATATCTGCATATTAATGATGAACAGTATAGAATTCTTCAATAACTTGATGAATTCAAATCAAAAGCAAAAAAGGATTAAATAACGTTTACCAGTTCTTTGCCCAACTCAATAGCAGCTTCTTGATAACTTGGTTTCTTGCCAGAACTGCTCCCACAGAATACACATATTCTTTTGAATCTTGATTTTATCTCCTCCTCCATTTTCGTCTACCCTTCTGTCTCTCTTCTCTCTCTGTCTGTGTGTGAATAATGATGAAATGAGAACAAAACGAGTCATAATATATAAGTTTTTATATAGGAAGGCATAATGAGCTAACGCATTCTCTCTCCAAGCATGATCAGTATTAGAACATTTTAGTTTTGGAATATTTTCTTTTGTCATTTTCTTTCTTACCATATGGGGGAGCATAATTGCCTTCTAATTTTTCGTTACTTGGGGGTAAAAACAGTACTTTCAAGAATTTTTATACTTCATATCACCAATGGCTAAAGAAAATTTAAAACTATGTTTCTATATGTAATTGCACATGCCAGAATATACCATTTTTGTTTTTTCTTCAAAGAGAAAAATTGGAGTTTAATTCAAATTTAATAAGGGTGCATTTGATTGCTAATATTTTTTTTATGAAAAATATGTTTTTTTCCAACTAAATTTCTACTTCTGTGATGTTTGATTAACATTTTTTCATGGAAAACATTTTCTTACCTTTGATCTCATGACTATATATTCTTCAAAATTAACGAAAATATTTTCTATAGGGAGAGTATGATTTTATTTTTTAAGGAATTCACTTCTCTTTCTCTCTCCTATTTATCAATTCTTTCTTATCTATTCATCAATAAAAAATGGACAAATAATTTTTTTTTAAGTTGAAAATTAAATCAATCAAACACGTTTAATTAATAATTTTCATACAAATAATTTCTAGGCAATTAAATTGCTTAAATTTTTTCTTTCCATACAAATTTCATGCTTACAATCAAATACAGTTAGGCTCCGTTTGATTCGTTAAATTTCCATGGAACTTGGAATTCGAATTCCAACTTCCACTTTTGGCCTGTTTGATTGACAAAATTTTCCAGGGAATTCATTTTCCATGTAATTCTAGGTACAACACCTTAAAGCGTGATTCAAGTCCCTATTTGGTAGGAATTAAAATTTAGATTTTAATCTAAATTAAGTAGATATTTAATTTTAACTACATATTTTATGAGACTCACACACTTAATCATTTTTTTATCAAAGTTTATTAAAAATATATTTTTAATTTCCACCATGCATGGGCTAAATATATGAGTTCCATCTTTTTTTAATGAATAATGCTATTTACAGTAACTCACTGCGTCGGTCGCCCTATGTGACGCACACATAATATGTGATTATTTGATGCGTAAATGTGGCAATCTATTATTTAACTCATGTATCAAATAACTACATGCCATGAGTATGTCACGAAAGGCAACTATCGGAGCGAACGATTGTGAATAGTATAATTCTTTTTTATTAGTTAAATTGTCGAAATCATGAAAATTGAAAACTTTCTAATCCACCTTTCTTCTTCCTTCTCTTCTATCTTTATTATACGTCGTTAAATACTGTAATGAATTTCTTATTCATTTCAAATTGAATTAGAGGAAAATAAAGATAATAAATTTTGTAAATATCACCCGAAAGACCTTCATATTTTAAAGAAATATCATTTAATCAAACATCACGGATATTTTTAAGATAAGTACCGATTTAATATATAAAAAAAATATAGGATTGCTTAAAATAACGATCTCATCTTCTTTAATCTTAGCATGCAGCTCAAGTGTAACAACTCGTTCACGGGAAAATTGAGATTTGTTAAAATGATTGTGCTATATATACATCACAATTTACTAATTTATTTATCAATAGATGATGTGAGATTTAATTGGATCAAAATCTCATTTAAAAAAAAAAAAAAAAAAAAAAACTTCCTTTAATTTCTTTTTGACATGTGATGAATCTGAAAAACATTAATAATAATAATTAAATAAACTATGTATATGGTGATATACAACATTTCCTTATTAAAATTTTATTGAGTATTAATTATAAGAATTATTGTTCTGTTTATCAATTAATTACTCTAATCAATGTACATTAATTGGTGTAGTATCTTTGGTAAATATCAAATATTGTGGATCTTCACGTTTCTGGCCTAATTATATGCCCATGGCCATGACCTTTAAGCAAACAAATAAAACGAAATTGCAACATTTTGATTTCAATTATTTGAATTGGAAGGATCTTGTAGCACGAAAAATAAAACGTGTTTTTTTTAAGTCTAGGAAAAATTTAATCATTTTCAGGTAACTATTTTCACAAACACATACGGGTAATTTTTTTTCCCTTAATTTTATTGAAAATAATGTATATTTTCAAAAGTAAATACCATTATAAAACTAAGAAGAAAGAATAATGTTACTTACAATCGCTCATTACCACAGTTGCCGTACATAGCATACATGTGACAGTTGGTGATTATTACATAAGGTTATAAAAAACTACCACATTAATGTATCAAATTACTAACTATCACATGTATGCCACATGAGATGATTATGATAATGAGCGACTGCAAATAGCTTTACTCAAGAAGAAAAGTAAGGGAATCAGAATTCAAGTACGTTGTTTTACTATAATAATTATCTTTATACATATGATTTCACTAAATGTTACAATAATGAAATTTATTATTACTTGGGCAAAGTCATCTAGACTTCTAGATATTATCAACTAGTCAATTATTATCATCTCATATTTTATAACATTTATTTATTTCGAACTTTTACCAATATCCAGATTATTGAA